GGGTTTTACCGAGGAAGACGTGCAGTCTGTTATAATTGAAATTCTGTTGCCTTTATGAAATTCTTTAACTGTTATATATCATTTGCCATGATCCGACTAAGGTCTGGTATAGTGTCGCTCCCTAAGAATTGGACTCTGATATTAGCAAACGCTGGGCATATACAGAGAAAATGTTCCAATGTTTCGTCATCTTCCCTGCACGCCCTGCATATGCTGTTTGGTATTAAAGAAAGATATCACCATATATGGAAGTCCTCCAATACATTATTACTTTGTCAGAGGAGACATCTTTGTGGGGCAGGAACTTAAAAAAAGATTTACCATTTTAAGGTGAAACCTTCGAGTGATACAAAAATTATGTTGTTCGAAGTTTAAACAGTCCTTCTCTGTGGGACAGGAACTTAAAGGGTAAGATTTACCCTTTTAAGGCAAAAACTTCGAGCGATACAAAAATTATGATGTTATTTTTAAACATTTTTTGTATCGTTTGAGGCAATTACTATCTAATATTATTTTAAAAATCGAGGTGTTTGAAATATTTTATTACTGCTTTCATAATGCCAACAAGACAGAAGATAGCTATAAATTGAAGAATAGCATTGATAAAAATACGAGGATTACTCCAATAGTCACTTCGTCGGCAAGCATCGAAAAGCCCACACTCTCATGGCAGGAGGCAATCGAAGTGTAAGGGGGACACAAAATGAAAGTTCTGGGGTCTCCCGACACTATGACTGTTATCCACCAATAAGCTATTATGTCAGCAGCTTTAAAAAAATCTCTTATGGAAGAAGCTGGAAGAAGATGACACTTAGACACTAGTTGAAGGGTATCTAAGGCCATCCGGTCAGTAATCTCGAGAAGAAGAACAAGATCCCTTCTATCAATTAGTAGGTCAGATCTAATCGCGGTAGACGTACTTACTTTGACCTTAAGATGGGAAAACAGTGTTCCTGCAACTGTCAAGCTATTTGAAGATGAAGAAGAGATAGGGACGATTGAACACCTACTACGCAGATGGCCCATGTTATCCGCCCTGCTCTATTAACCTTTTCTTCACCTTTTTATACCCTCAGCCATATTGCTACAGAGTGTATATATCATTTGATATAAACGTGTCTCATCGAAATAACGGTTTTAGGACCTAGGTCAAATACGTTTCATGACATTTGGAGTCGATTTAAAGGTGTCCGACCGTCTGTCTGTCTGGTGGACCAAACTTCGGAACTTCGATGGCATTCCCAAGTGGACCAAACTTGGTACATCGTAATATTATTATCAAACTTAGATCAAGTTCGGAGATGGGCAATATCGGTCTACTCCTTTTGCATCAGTGGTCAGGTACAAAAATGGACAATTTCGGTCCACTCCACCAAGTGCCTCCCCCACAAAGGGTTAACATTAAGAATAATTATAACTCTTATAAAATGTGATATAAGCATCCGATTGTCCTTAAATTACACACGTCACAAAATTTTCATTATTTTAAGGTCTGGGGTGAAGATGTGATATATCGGTCCAATACTTCTGGTACCTCCCTCACAAAGTGTCAAAATTTTAAATATCCTGAAGCTCATATAAGGCGAAATTATTATCCGATTCCATTCCGACTTCTCAAATACCGATATTTCTATCAACACAAGATCAGTTGAGAATGTGGTAGAGATCGGACCATTCCTTTCGGTACTTTCCCCACAAAGAGTCAATGTTTTAAAAAATCAAAACGATCATAAAATAAGAAATAAACATCCCATCCGATCACACATCTCAATACACGGTGCAACAAAGTCAAACGCCATAATTTTTACATTTTTATACCCTACACCACAAGGTGGTCAGGGTATTATGTCTTTGTGCATTTGTTTGTAACAGGCAAAAGGAAACGGGATAGACCCATAATTCCTTTTAATGATCTGCCTAGAATCACATTCTCCGTCTGTCCATGTATTTTTGTAAACAAAGTACAGTTCGCATTTATTGCCCTATCCAGATGAAATTTTGCACAAATCATTTGTTTGGCCCAAGGACGAACCATATTGAAATTGGAGATAATCGGTAAAAATTTAGATATAGCTCCCATATATATCTTCGCCCGATTTGCCTTTTATTGTGCACCAAACGTGTAATATCAGTCCGAATAGTATAGAATTTTGCATGTACGATCAGATTGGACCTGAAAATAAGTATGCCAAATTTGATCGAAATCGGTTCAGATATAACTATAGCTCCCATATATATTGATCATCCGATTTGTTATTTTTGTCAGCCGCAGCCGTACTATCCACTCTATAACAACAATATTTGGGGAAATTTATCAAATACAGCTCAGAAATACATTTGCTAAATTTTATCGAGATCGGTTCAGATTTGGATATACCTCCCATATATAACTTCGTCCGATTTACATTTTATTGTGCACCAAACGTCTAATAATTGTCCAAATGGGATGAAATTTGGCACTTATTGAGTCTAGAAGCTAGTATGTCAAATTTGGTGAAGATCGGTTCAGATATAGCTATAGCTCCCATATATACTGTTCATCCGATTTGTTATATTTGTTACCCACAGCCGTAATATGCACTCCGTAACAACGATATTCAGGGAAATATATCAAATACAGCTCAGAAATATCTTTGCCAAATTTTATGGAGATCGCCCCCCGACTTTAAGATCGAGATCGAGCCCCGCCCGACTTTAAAACTTTCTTTATTTTAATTTTATTAAATAAAAGCAAAAAATGTAGGAAATAGAATCAAATTTTAGAATAAGTTTAGATTTGTTCGAATTGGTCACCTTTGGCACGAATTATGACCTTCAAACGGCCAATGAAACGTCACACGCTGCCTGAATGTTGCTCTACGGTTTTTTGGGCCTTTATACACCCTCCAGAATATTTTCGAGATAATATTCGGCATTTATTCTGATGCCACGGTCAATTAATACTAGCGGAGAGCGACCACCGGCTGTTATGGCGGTTCACACCATCACCATAGCCGGCGCTTGAGTTCTGTAGGCCAACCAAAGGTGTACATTTTCAGCTGACCTTTTTTCCAGTAAACACGATCATTTTTTGTTTTTACAAACTGCTGGATAACGAATGTTTTCTCATCGGAGAAAACCAAATTCGGAAGTTCACCACTTTCGGCCAAGCTAAGCAACTCTTTAGCTGGCCATTTTTCGGCCACTGTGACGCGGGTTTCGATCGAAATCACTTCTTTAATTTTCGAACCATTTCTCACGCTTGAATTCCATCACGAATAACTTTTTTTTTTTGGAAAATTCTCACCAAAATGATTTTGTACACTTGTTAACAATATAATGAGCTGTCACTGGAACAATTTTAAAAGCTGTCGGACGAGTAGGTTGGAAATGACAGCAATCTGAAGTTTGTTGCAGTTTTTCATCTCACCCAGTAGATATGGGAAAATCTTCATTCTACTCACAAGGGTTTCATATCTGCTGAAACTTTACGGCAAATTGTCAATTGGTCGCAATATGTGACCAAATAGAATATATTTTCGTATATACGTCTGATTTTAGACCTAAAGCAAGTTCACAACAATTCGTGAAATATGGTTCGAATATAGCTAAAGCTCCTATATATATCTTTCCCCGGATATTGGGTACTTAAGTTCCATTATAATAATATTCGGTACAATACGTGAGATATAGCCTTGAAATACGTTAATATTTTTTTTGTCGAAATCAACCTCAAAGCTTGTCCAATTAGGTTTAATTAGTTGACTGGAATGAAGAAACCTTCTCAAAATATGCAGTTTTTATACCCTACACCACATAGTGGTAAGGGTATTATGTCTTTGTGCATTTGTTTGTAACATGGAGAAGGTAACGAGATAGACCCATAGTTACTTTTGAGAACCTTCATAGAATCACTTTCTGAGTCGATTTATGCATGTCAGTCCGTCTGTCCATGTATTCTTGTGAGCAAAATGCAGGTCGCATTTATTATCCGATTGAGGTGAAATTTTCCAAACAATATTTTTTTGGCCCAAGGACGAACCCTATTGAAATTGGTGAGAATCGGATCAAATTTAGATATAGCTCCCATATATATCTTCATCCGATTTCGGGTTAAATGTGCACCAAATGTCCACTATCAGTCCAAATTACCTAAATTTTGGCACACCCAACCAAGTTCGGCCTAGAAGCAAGTATATCAAATTTGGAGAAAATCGGTTCAGATATAGCTATAGCTCCCATATATATCTTTCATCAGATTTGATCTTTAAGTCCCTCACATTCCTACTATGCACTCCACAACCGTGATATTTGGTACCAGGTATTAGATGGAGCACAGAAATAGCTGTTTGTAATTTTATAGAAATCGGTTCAAATTTGGATATAGCTCCCATATATATCTTCATCCGATTTCGGGTTAATTGTGCACCAAATGGCCGATATAAGTCCAAATGGACTGAATTTTAGTACATCGGACCAAATTCAGCCTAGAAGCAAGTATATCAAATTTAGTGAAAATCGGTTCAGATATAGATATAGCAACCATATATATGTTTCATCCGATTTAGTGTTTTAGTCCCTTACATTCGTAATATTCACTCCACAACCGTGATATTTGGTACCAGGTATTAGATGGAGCATAGAAATAGCTGTTTTAAATTTTAACAAATGGCCTATATCAGCCCAAATGGCATGAATTTCCGTACATAAGACCGAATTCAGTCTAGAAGCCAAATTTGGAGAAACCCGGTTCAGAGATAGCTATAGTTCGTAAAATGCACGATAGAATTTGATAGATTTTGATTTTGTACCAAATATCTCATAGAGCTCTGAAATGCCCTGTATAAACCTTTTTACGAGAGCTCTACTAAATATGCATAGTGGTGTAGTGTATCATATAGTCGGCCCCGCCCGACTTTTGAGCTTTCCTTACTGGTTATATATATTTATTCCATCCGATTTCGCAAAATAATATTTAAAATTCTAAATTTGTTAAAAATTCAATTCGAATAATTACTTACTTTTGGGGACAATTAAAGTAATCCGAATAAAATATCCACACACAGCGTTTCCTCCAAAGAACAAATTATTCCGGCAAGTTAGTTAAATGTTGTTACTTTTGAAATACACATTTAATTCATATATCCAAAATTACAAATGTATTTTACATTCCACTCAAATTGGACACTTTCAATTGTCGTTTTCTAATCACTTCTGTCAAGTTATTCGAATGAAAATTTTCGATTTGATTTATTTCGCTTTTGCAAATTTCCAACTGGATTTCAAACAGTTTGCACTTTTCTACAATGCACTAAGTGCCGTTGATTGGTAATTTTCTTTGCAATCACGTTTTTGAAATTAACAGATTTTTTCGTTTAAAGATTTCAAATTCTTGTCAGCTTTTTTTTCTTGGTAACACAAACAAAACAAACTTGCAGCTTACAAAGTTTAAGCTTAGAACCACCACATTATTGTTACAAAATTGAAATCACTCTGTTGTTGTTTTTATTTACTTTAGGAGAAGTAGTACATGTGGCATGCAACAATTACTAGTGTCCGTCCAAACGAATTACAAGAGCGACAACCACCTGATGATTTCCATTTTTTGTTGGGGGGTGAAACACCAAAATTCGTTAACAATTTTTCCAACCGAAAGGTGTTACAAACACAGACGACACACAGATGCAAATTGAGGGCCCGTCTTTGTCTCGACTCGAATGTGAAGCGATGCGCAACCAACAACCGTCAATGAGAAAAGTCCAACATAGACTGACTGAATGTCATGACCATGCTGCAAGTGGAATATGGTTTGAGCCAGCTCTCCATTCCACTTGCTGTGTCTGCCGTTGCTGTTGTTATTGTTGAATGGTGCTGTGTTGTGTTAGGTGTAAAGTTGTTTGAAGAGCTACCTCGCTGATGGCCACATTTTGTTTTGGTGCTTTCTTTGAGTGTATTCTATGCGAACACTTTTTTTTGAATTTGGATTTGTTACAGTGCGTTTCAAGAGATATGGTTGTGGTGGGTTTGAGTTCAGAAGACAGAATCGTGAAATTTGGCGTGTGGTGTTGTTGGGTGAGAGAACTATGATCACTATTGTGTAAATTTGAACTAATAAATTTATCAGGTACTCTCCTCGGTTTATATGTGATTTCTTAATAGCGGAATGTGTTTCACTATTGGTGTATAACGTTCAGATGTTGCTGCAATTTTGCAAACTCATATATAAAGCATACTAATTACAGGGTGAGATAAAAAAAACTGCAACAAAGTCAAACGCCATAATTTTTAAATTTTTATACCCTCTACCTTGGAAGAGAGGGTATATTAACTTTGTCATTCCGTTTGTAACATCCTTAAATATTCGTCGTAGACCCCATAAAGTATATATATTCATAATCAGCATAAAATTTTAAGTCGATTTAACGATGTCCGTCTGTCTGTCCGTCTGTCTGTCCGTCTGTCTGTCCGTCTGTCTGTCCGTCTGACTGTCTGTCTGTCTGTTGAAATCACAATACAGCCCACATTATTTGACGTAGAGCGCCAAAATTTAGCAGAGCAATTTGTGTTGTGTCTAGGATGGTTGGTATTGAAAATGAGATATATCGGTTTTGGTATAGTCCCCATATAACGGAACCTCCCGATATTCGGTATTTTGATGATTAATGGCACACTTTTTCACGGATTTGTCTGAAAATTGGTATTTGTAGGTCATAAACGGTCCCAGTTCGTGTGGCGAGACATTGCATGTATAGGTCCGCGTTTTGTTGTAGCCCCCATATAAAGGTACCTCCCGATATTCGGTATTTTAATTTTTTCCCACATTTTTTCACGAATTTATCTAAAAATTGGTATTTTTGATCATAATGGGTTCAGCTCCGGTGGCGAAACATTGTATGTTTGGTTCCATGATTTGGTATAGCCCCCATATAACGGTACCTCCCGATATTCGGTATTGGTATTTTTTGGTCATAATAGGTTCCAGCTCCGGTGGCGAAACATTGCATGTATGGGTCCATGATTTGGTATAGCCCCCATATAACGGTACCTCCTGATATTCGGTATTTTGATGGTTTTTGCCACATTTTTTCACTGATTCGTCTAAAAATTTGTATTTGTGGGTCATAATGGTTCCTAGTTCGTGTGGCGAAACATTGCATGTATGGGTCCATGATTTGGTATAGCCCCAATATAACGGTACCTCCCGATATTCCGTATTTTAATGGTTTTTGCCACATTTCTTCTAATGTTTCCTTTACCCTAAGGTGGAGGGTATTAAAAGTTTGGCCCGGCCGAACTTAATGTTTTTTGACTTGTATTTTTAAATTTTATTGAATGAAAGCAAAAAATGTCGGAAATAGCATTAAATTTTACAATAAGTCTAGATTTGTTCGAATTGGTCACCTTTGGCACGAATTCTTGGGTGGCGCGTGCTGAGTGCGATGGTACTGAGTACTGTTGGAATGTCCAAGGTCTGCGGACAAAATGTTTGGGTGCCCAAGGCTTTAATACACCATCCAGAATATTTTCGCGATAATATTCAGCATTTATTCTGATGCCACGGTCGATTAATATGAGCGGAGAGCCGGCTTGAGTTCTGGTTCAGCTGACCTCTTTGGCAAGTAAACACGATCATTTTGTTTGGTTACAGACTGCTGAACAACGAATGTTTTCTCATCGGTGAAAACCAACCTTCACAACTTTCGGCCAAGCGAAACAACTCTTTAGCTCTTTGAGTCTATTTTCTTTCTGGTGCGGTGTAAGTTCTTGCACTTTTTGGAATTTCAATGGCTTTACCCCGAGCTCATTTTTCAATATTTGCCGAATGGAATATTACGATATGTTCAACTCACAAGCCATTTTTCGGCCAATGCGACGCTGGTTTCGATCAAGTCGTTCTGTACTTTGCGGACCATTTGTGCTGATGTTGCTGATATTGTTTTCTTCCGTCCACTACTTTGGCGTCGGGATACGCTACCAATATCATTCTCGCCAAAATGCTTTGAACGCTTGTAAACAATATAATGAGCTGTCGGACGAGTGGCTTAGAAATGACAGCAGTATGAAGTTGGTTGCAGTTTTTTCATCTCACCCTGTATAGTCATTGCAAACGACTATGTTTTAAGTAGAGAGAGACAGATGTTTTAAGTAGAGTTTACTGTTTGTTGTTGGCGTGACTTAATCAATTGAGTTATAATAAATTATGTTTGTAGAGGTAAGGTAATAATTATCAGCAGGGAAAGGTCAAAAGTCAGACGGCGCCGACTATATGATACCCTACATCACTATACGTATTTAGTAGAGCTCAAGTAACAAAAAAATTTGTGTTGGGAATTTATGTGAAGTAGATCATTCCAACTATGAAACTTATTTCAATTATTTATTTTTATTAAAAACTATTTATTGGAGCAATAGATATACCGGACCGAGTTTTCCCAAATGGAAAAATTCGTTGAATATGAAAAATTCTATCCAAATTGGACTGAATTACCCATATCCTGAGCGATAACCGTAAAATCGGATGAAGATGTATATCGAATGTATAAAAAAACTGAACCGATGTCAATAAAACTTATTTTCGAACATTATCTGATGTCCGGTATCAAATATCATTGTTGTGGAGTGCATATTACGAATGTGAGGGACTTAAACACATACACATGAAAAATATATGTGGGAGCTATAGCTATATCTTAACTGATTTTCACCAAATTTAATGTACTTGCTTCTAGACTAAATTCGGTCGGATATACTAAAATTCCGGCCATTTGGACTGATATTGGCTATTTGGTGCACAATTAACCCGAAATCGGCTGAGGATATATATGGGAGCTATATCCATATTTGAACCGATCTTGACAAAATTTGATACACTTATTTCAGAGCTGCATCTGATATCTGGTACCAAAACTCATTGTTCTGGAATACATATTATGATTGTGAGGAACTTTAAGCCCCAAATCGTATAAAACGTATATATGGGAGCTATAGATATAGATCTGAACCGATTTACACCGCATTTGAAATACTGGTTATAGGATGAATTCAGTCGAAATTGCCAAAATTCAGTCCATTTGGGCTGATATTAGCCATTTGGTGCAAAATAAACCTGATATCGGATAAAAATATATATATAGGAGCTATATCCTAATCTGAACCGATCTCTATAAAATTAGACAGAAATTTGGTTTACTTTCTTCTAGTATGAATTCGGTGGGATGTACAAAAATACAGGTTATTTGGGTACCATTTGGTGTACAATCATCCCAAAATCGGTTGAAGAGATATGGGAGCTATATCTAAATCTGATCCGATTATCACCAATTTCAATAGAGTTCGTCCTTTGGCCAAACAAATATTGTTTGGAAAATTTCAAGTCAATCGGATAAAAAATTTGACCTGCGTTTTGTTCACAAGAATACATGGACAGACGGACGGGCGGACTGACATGCATAAGTATTTGTCCAAATGGGATGGAATTTGGCACATACGACCGAATGTAGTCTAGAAGGTAGTATGCCAAATTTGGTGAAGATCGGTTCAGATATAGTTATAGCTCCCATATATATTGTTCATCCGATTTATTGTATTTGTTACCCACAGCCGTAATATGCACTCCGTAACAACGATATTCAGGGAAATATATCAAATACAGCTCAGAAATATCTTTGCCAAATTTTATCGAGATCGGTTCAGATTTGGATATAGTTCCCATATATATTTTTATCCGATTTCAAATTAATTTCGCACCAAATGGGCAATACAAGTCCGAATTTAAAAGATACAAATGCTTCGGCATATTTAGTCCTTTGAATTTTAAATTATAATTATAATCATAGCGTATATGATTGTATTCTCCCAGAAAAACTTTTAATTATTAAGTGGAGCTTAACTAAATTAGCAAAGTGGTGTAGGGTATCATAAAATCGGCCCCGCCCGACTTTAGGACTTTCTTTACTGGTTTTTATACGGAGAAATTTCTTAATGTCTCCTCTGAGCAGATTTGAAGAATAATATTTTGTGGAGGTATAATAGTCTTCTATTTTCCATCATACTATAACAAAACTTAAACATTTCCCATTTCGTAATGTCTCCTCTGAGCAGTTTTGAGGAATAATATTTTTTGTGGAGGTCTAATAGTCTTCTTTAAATAGAAGCCCATCAAAAGAACTTATCTAGAATGATTATCTTCAAATATCGATATATATTTATATAGGTCCCTTAAAAGAGAATCTCAAAAATTTCTTTACCTTAATACAAAAATGTTTATCATTGCGCTGTTAAAATAACCTTCCACCCAGCCACAACAACCACCTCGAATCTTCGTTCCAATAAACAAAAAAAAGAAAAAACAGATTTGCCTCCAGTTGGTGTTAACTTCAACAACAAGTGGTAAATGTGGAAATTATGAAAAATGTTGCTCCGAACCTTTGCTGTGCTGTGGAATATGCTGTGGCAAAGAGCAGCAACTTGCTAGACCGTTCAACATCAGCTTCGCTCAGTTCAGTTTCATTAAAACTTTGTATAAACAACAGCTACGTTTGGTAAATAAAATACGATTATTGTCATTATTTTGTTGATGATCATCGCAACAACATCTGTACTTTATAACTGAAATCTAAATATAGCAGCTTTTTTTTTGTTTCTGTATCTTTTGTTATTGTTACTCGTTACTGGTTGTTTTTTTTTTTTTTTTTTGTGCTGTAGATTTTCATTGTAAGCTGTTTATTAGTTTCCTTTGGCAAATTTTGGTGATTTATT